GAAGTCTGTTTGTGAGGCCTGTTTATGTGTCTTCTCATTTCCACGGCCGGGGGAGTGTGCTTCTGGCACCTTCTCTGCCCTAGGAGCATGGGATGGCAGCAGGGGAGCTTCCTTCCAGGTGCTGGGACCAGCTCACCTTCTCTCCCAGCTCTTTCTACTGTTGGATAAATGTGATGAGATAATTTATTAGTTTGGAGGAAGCATATATATTCAGATAAGGAATGAACATATATTTGTTTAAAAATTATTTAAGAGGTTTACAAAGGCATAATGTTGGGCTTATATATGTGTGGCTATTATTTTGTCTGTTATGTTGGTCAAATTAAAAGTGTTAAGAAAATCAAGAGAGCAGTGTATGTCAACAAGGACCAGGAGAAAGCAATGAGGTTGGGGAGAGGGAGGCAGAGCATAGTAACAGGTAAGGAGAGTCAAGAGCACACATGGGCACTGACCAAGCAAAGCAGAGGGTGCAGCCAAGAGCAGCGAGCTCCCCACTATATTAGCTGCCCACTAGTGTCCAGGGTCAGTGGGCTCCCAGGCAGGAACATCATGGTGGAAGTGTGTGGCAGAGCAGAGAAAAGTGCCAGCATGGAAGTGGTGAGGCATCAGGTGTAGTACTCAAGGTCACTCCTCTCTGCCTGCCCCCCAGACACACCCAGAAGGGTGCTCCTTAATCCCCTAGTGGATCACAGAGTCAATCAAGTTGACTCTATACCTTTCCCACCACACCCACCCTAGCCTTCTCTAGTTGCTATGGTTCATGAAAGTGCAAGTCCTATTCAGTGATCTATAGACACCCACTACTTTCATCCCAGCTCCCCCTTTCTGTACAATTGACTCCCATTAGAACACCCAGTAACTTCCATCTTCCATGAGAAAGACCGAGGGAAGGCTGATCTGTATGCCAAGAGCCTATGCAGTTGACAGCAATCCTGGGAAACAGTAGCATTTCTGCAAAGATGGGCCTGGTGAGAAGAGCTGTAAGCAAACCCAGGAACATAATGTGGAGCATTAAAGTCTCAGTAGCCACACCTGGGGGAAGATGCACTGGAAAGAGGATGGGATGAGGGATGGGCTTGGAAGAAAACAAGCTGAGAGTGTAGACCACCAGGGATGCTGGTGGGCACCTGTCTGTCCCCTTCACCCATCATCAGCATGGAGACCATTCTCCACAAATCAAGGGTCTTGTGAACCCAGGTGGCTTGTTCTGGAGCAGCATCAAACCTAGAGAGGACAGGACAGGAGGGGGCAGGGCTTGTTTGCTTGGTGGTTGTTTTGTACAGGTAGGAGTTGGCAGCAGTGTGCTAGCCATCTACTTGAGTGATTCCCCTGTCCCTTTCTGACACCAAGGAGGATCAAGCCTTCCCAGGGGAGTCTTGAGAGTCAGCTCATTTTTTGAGGCCCAGCTCATCTGTCACCTCTGTGGATCCTGCTCTGAACACCCCCATTTGCTTAGACCAACTCTCCCCTTTTATTTCATTCTGCCATTCATTGTGCACAATTTTCCCTCCCATTAGACTTGAGCTTCTCCAGACAGAGCCTGTGTGTCTCAGCTGCCCAGGGGCAGCCCCAGTTCATTGCTGGCTCTCAGTGGTGTCTGAAGTTGGGTGAATGAATGGAAGCAGACACTCTGGCACATGCATGCAGTCTTCTCCTTGCCCTGAGTGGTCACTGGTGTGGATTGTGTGTGGTGCATGTGTACTACAGCCCACAGCCCCATAGCTGGAAGGGACCCAGACCCTGTGAAGGCCAACATATCCCAGCCTTCACTTTTCCTTTGTTGGTCATGTGTCTACACAGGCACATGAATTCAGTCCCTGTGGCTTATTTCCAAGTTTCACTTTCTGCCTCAGTGGTAAGTAATGTCATAGAACAGACAAGTTGAAGAGGAGGAAGCAGAGATGAGTCAGTGGGAAAACTAGCATCAACATCAATGCTCACTTATGGTAGGAATTCAAATGCTCCACCTCCTGGCTGTGAAGCTTCCCCTCAAGTATGCTTCTCCATGATGTCTCTCTGCAAGTGGAAATCCTTGCTCCTTTCTTCCTGTTCAATACCTCCTCACCCTTTCTCTCTCCTGTAGCCTGTTGTTCATTCATCTACAACACCTCTTGCAGTCAGTACCTGTGTCTGCCTTCCCTCACCTGCTCCTATCACTGACCGTGAGCTTTATAGGAGCAAGGACCTGGTGTCCCTGTACCATGGCATCTGGTGGGCACTCCTGATGTCTTAAGTGAACGCTGAAGAGATGTCAATAGACTGAGTGTTCCTATCCTCCTAGAATGTGTGTGTTGAAATCCTGACCACCAACAGAGTAGTAGGAGGAGGTGGGGCCTTTGTGAGATGATTAGGTTACAGGCACAGAGCATTAGTGATGGGATTAGTGCTCTGCTACAAAAAGATACAACTGCCACCTCTCCCTCTGTCCTGTCACATGCAGATACAATGGGATGGCTTCTGCAGATACTGGATCTGGTGGTACCTTGATTTTGCACTCTTCAGCCTCTAAAACTGTGAGAAATAGATGTTTGTTGTTTGAGTTACAAGGTCTTTGGTATTTAGATATATTTAGCAGCCTGAATTGGCTAAGACAGAGATGGATGAATGAATGAATGAGTTTCAACTGTTGTGTAGATTATGGCAGTGGAGATTCACAGAAGGAGTTTTCGACCTGAGTTGGGCACTGGTCTGCCACTTGCTAGCCATGGGACAAGCCATGGGCTTTGTCCTTCCTCTGCCCATGCCATGTGGCTGAGTAGTACCAACCTCAGAGTGCTACTGGAGGACCGAGACGAGCTGGGCCAAGTGTCCAGTGTGATGGCTGGTGCGTGGCAGACGATAAACGGGAAGTACTGTGGCTATGAAACTCGGAGTGCTGCAGGGACACAAAGCCATTGGAAGGAAGTGCCTCTTTTGGTAAGCAATGGGGAGGGGACTTAGGGGTACTGATGTTAAATTAGGTGTGCCATCCGTTAGACTGCTATGGTCCTAACTGCAGCTCTCAGGTAGAGGGAGTCCGAGAGATGTCTGTGTCATTCAGACATGGAAACTGAGGCCTAAGGAACCCTCTGTTCAGTAGCTAGAGAAGATGATTTCAGCAAACGGAAAGCATTCATTCATTCCACAGGCATCCGTTCCTTACTGGGCACCTAGTGCATGTCAGGCCCCATCCACTTGTTTCAACAGTAGTGAGGAAGGTCAGCAGGCCAAGCCAGGTGGACACTGGGCAGAACTCACCCCAAACTCACCTTCCCCACCTTGGTCAAGAGTGGCCCACAGGAGCAGGAAGGGAGTTTTCACTCACATCTAATACTTGGAGCAGGTGCACTGGTGGGAATGTGTTTCCTGAACTTCAGGTGTTGGAAACTTAATCCTCAGAGCAACAGCACTAGGAGGTGAAATCTAGTGAGAAGTGATGAGGTTTATAAGGGCCCTGACTGCATGGTGGACTAACATCATTATCCCGGGAGCGGTTAGTTATCGAAGGAGTATTTTTGCTATAAAAGCAAGTCCAACACTCTACCTTGCCTCTGCCCTGTTTCACCTTTCCTTCTTTCTGCCATGGGCTGATGAAGCGCGAAGGTCCTTCCTAGATGTGGGGCTCCTCATCTCAGACTTCCCAGGCTCCAAAACTGCAAGAAATAAATCTGTTCTTCATCGATTACCCAATGTCAGGTCCTGTGCAATTATGGCACAAAATGGACTAGAACAGTGGGTGAAGAACTTAAGTTACCTTACCTAGTTTAATCCTGAGCCAGGCAGGTTTTCTTACTGCCAGGTTACAGATGAAGAAACAGACAGGAGGTGAATAGCGGGACCCACGGTGCTCAGGCAGGAAGCTGGAGAGGCAGGAAAGGCTTGGGCCATCTGAGGTCCCTGCACTATCTGGCACTGCAAAGGCATACTAGAGGCCACCTCTTTGCTGGGACCCAGCCTGGTGCAAATACCTAATTGTGAGGCAGACTCTTGGAGCAAGGGTCCTGCCTAGGACAGCTCTTCATCATTGGCTTTGCCCTCTGCTGAGATGGCTTCACTTCTTTCTTCCAGGCTGGGCTCTGCCAGAGAGCAGTTCCACATTTTCCCAGCAGCCTGTGGTGTGGTCATCCCCCATCTATTCACAGACTCTGGGCCGAGTGGTCTGGCATGCAAGGAGGAGAATATTTGGCTTCCCCACTAAGTTCAAAAGCAGCAGCTGCAGCCATGAGGCCCGGGGCCGGGCAGCCAGAGCCTGCCCCTGGCACTGCACTAATGAGCATCTCCACTTGGTGGGTCTGGGGGCAGGGAGCTGGGGTGGGAGAGGCTGGCAGCTGAACTGGTGTGGGAATGGTAACCATGGGAACTGGCCACATCACTGGCAGACAGGCTTCAGGGCCCCGGTGAAGCCCCAGCATCAAGGTGCAGTTTAGGGGATCCCTGTCCCACTCTGGGGCCCTGAGGGCTTGGGAATAAATCCCAGTGCAACCTATTCCTAGACTTTCTACCTTGGGCAATCAACCTCTTTGTCACAGTTTCCTCTATAGAGCAGGAATAAAAACAGCATCTATTCCAAACAAGTCCATGCAAAGCATCTAGTCAGGGCTCAGTCATCTCCCTTCGGGTCCTCTGCCATTCCTGCAGTTTCTGTCACCCTCCAGCTTTTCCCTGAGTGCCTCAGATACGATTCCAGGCGATTGTTCACCTGTTATCAGTCCTGACACACTGTCAGAAGATGCTTCTCCTTCTTGTGCCTCTTGATGCTTTCATAATTGAATGTGAAATCTGTTCTCACATAAACTACATAGAACATCTGCTTTGGGTCAAGGATGTGTCCATGAAAAATGAGAAAGAAGAAAGCCAGGCCCTTCTCCAGGCACGGCTACCACAGAAATGCGAGTGAAATGGAGCCCAGTGGTCCCAGTGCCCAAATAGTCCTCCTGCCCCCTTGTTTCTTGTGTGGGGAGCAGGTGTGTTATGCAAAATATTCAACAGCCAAGAGGGCCCTACCAATCAGAATGGGCCTTGGCAGTAGTGCTGGAGCAAGGACACTTGGGTGCCCAGATATGTAGCTCTTGGCCAACTGGCAAGGAAGCATTTTAACAACTGGCAGTGGTTGTGTTCTGGATCTATACCAGCTCTGCCAATGAGAAGAGCCAAAGCAGAGCAGAGCTGATGAGTCTGCGTGGAAGGAAAATGAGTCCTACCCTCTTCTTTCCCCGTGTAGGCTCACACAATGACTGGATGGCTGTGGGTTGGCAGAATTCAATGGCCTTCACAGAACTTAAGTGGGCCAATGTTAACAGTGTTGGCTTTGGCATTAAACTATCTATCACGAGCTTTGGCATCTTCAACAAGTTTTTAGCATCTGAGAACATTGGTTATCTAATCTGTGAAAATGAGGGCATGACAGCACAAAGGGCTTATAGAAAGTGTCTCACACAGGGTTCAGAACACATGGTCTAGCAGAGATAGTGGGAGCACTTCCTGTTCATTTTGTGGGGGTCCTGGTGTTCTTTCCATGAGGTAGGACTCCTCCCTACCTTGGGGGCCAGTGGGGTACAACTCTTCTTCCCAAGCACTCACACATTCATCCTGTTCACACAACAGGAGTCTACCAAATGCCTACTTGGTGGCTGGAAATGTTCCAACAAACATGCCAGTCCAGGCTCCGTCCTCATGTGGCATGGAGGGAGGCAGGCAACATGGCAGACAGGCTTTTCCTCCTGCTGCCAGCATACAACCATTCAGAACAGCAGCAGCAACAAACCTGTCAGGCAGAATAGGGCTAAGCTTGAAATCAAGGAAGGAACCCCTCAGAAGCCAGAAACAAAAGAATGACCTGAAACTGGAGCCCCAGTGGGGCTGCTGTGGAAAAGGTCATGGGGCTCAGGAAGTGGGTCAGGGTTGTGGTTCTCAGCAGTGCTGCACCTGAGTGTCACACTGGAGCTTCTAGAGATACCCTAGCCACACCCAGACCAATCACACTGGGATTCCTAGGGGCAAGACCTAGGCTCCAGAGGTTCCAATGTGCAGCTCAGGTAGTAAAGGTCTTTGGGGTGTGGTGGTGTTTTAATGCCTGGCCAGGCAGGGAAAGAGCCTCCTGTGAAAGGCAAGAGCCATGGCGTCCTCTTGAGTAGGGTCCTCTCCCTGGGACCACCTGTTCACCCAGGACTGGTTCAAAGGTGGTGTGTGCCTCTTGAGAGAGCCAGGAAGTAGTCACGTTATCACCTGTTGCAGTGCCCTAGGCAGACAATGCAATTGCCTTAGAGGAGGACCACTTGGGAAAGAAACCCCTATGGAAAACAAATCCCCCTTGAGCATTCTAGGGCAGCTGACAATAAACAAGGGAGGAATTAAAGCATATTTTTGCAGTTCTACTTATTTTTAGTTATTGTTTATCTCTTGCTGGGTGTAGTTTTTAAATCAAACTTCATCATAGGCATGAATGCATAGGAAATAGCGTTGGTATCATGGATGATTTCAGGCATCCACCGAGGTCTTGGATTTATCCTGCTTGGCTGAGGGAAGACTGTCGTTGGTAAAGACTGCCTACCAGATAATGTGAAATGTGATGGAAAGCGATTAGCTGAGGGAGACCAGGAAGGGACTCCCCGGCAGGTGACATTTGATTTGAAGCTTAAAGGGTGACACAGAGAGAACAAGCAAGGAGTGAGGAAGTGACTTTCTAGCCAGAGGGAAGAGCAAGAGCATAAGGCCATGAGACTAGGATAATTCTGAAAGTTCTTGGAAAGGGAAAAGGCCCGTGTGGCAGGGATATAGTGAGCCAGAGGGGAGGAAGAATCATGGCCCTCTAAGCTGGGTTAGATGCTTGGAGTTCTCTTCCCAGGGTGAAGGAAAACCACTGACAGGGTTAACCAGAGCAATAGCATGACCTGATGGCTGCGCAGAAGCCTGAAGGCTCATAGCTGCAGACCTTTCATTTGCTGTGTAGCACTGAGCCTCCGCTCTCCTCCCCACTCTATTCCCTATGTGACCCCTCCTGGATTTGCATTGTCACAATTACTCCACGCAGGAGATAGCTAGGTGTCTTCTCCACTGGACAGAAAATATCAGAGCTGAGTGGCCTCAACCATGTCCCCTGGGCTCTTGAATGACAGAGTTATCTGGTGTTTGGCCCAGAGCTCTTGCCCTGGTACAGCACTCACATGCACAAAACCCAGCCGAGCAACAGTTGGCCACCCAGCTGTTGTCACAGTGAGTTACATTCTCACTAGTCAGGGCCATTGGAACAAGAAAGCACAACCTGGCTTTCCTGTGCAAAGCAACTTTCCCAGTGTCTTGCCTGCGGCCCCCAACTTCTGGTAAGCAGTTTCTGATGAGCGAGGCATCCACGCCTCCCTTTTTACACTCTCTTTAGCACACGAAGGCACTTTGAGACACACTGGAGGGGCATTTTTCTGCATCAACCCCAACTTCCCTCACCTCAGTATGCTGCATAAGAATCTGCTCTATCACTTGTGGTTGAGAGGCCCGAAGTGCTAGGGTTCACGAGGCAGTTTTCCCACTTCTTGGCTGTCAGGTCCTCATTTTCTGTTATTTCCCCAAGGATTGGCTGCTTCTAGTTGGTGCTGAGTCAGTTCCGGACAAACCTCCTTAATATTTGAAAATGCCCAGGCTGGGGCATTTGGGGTCTTTATATAATTCTTAGAACTTCTTAGTGACCCCATTTCCCATGCCAGGTCCTAGGAGAAATTGGAATGGGTGAAGAAGTGGTGGGAAAGGTAGAGAAAGGCCTCAAGGGCCCTTTAGTGCCCTGACTAGGTGACTTTATTGGGTTTTGGCTACATACAATGAGGGTGATTATAGACAAACTGTATGATCAGGGCTGGATGGTTCAATGCACCATATGTGAAAAACGGTCCACTGTCTGGGCTATTCTACTGTGAAGAATGGAAATTAATCTACCCTCACAATGAAGCCCAAGGAGATGAAAACATGTTTCTGGACTGTAACTATGGAAACCTCAGGTACCCAGGAGGAAGAGCCGCCTTGTGGCTCTCCTGGCTCACCTTGCCAAGTGGAGGGCTCCAGAGGCAGAGGAGAAAGGATGGGAATGAAGGTGGGAAGAGGTGACATCCAGCAGCACCGGTGAGAGACAGCGGGTGGGGCAGGCTGTAGGTGTCACTGGGGCTGCTATTAAGGGCATCCGTGAGGCAGCACACTCATCTGGAATCCCTTCTGACTGGCATCAATGAATGGCCCTGTTTCATCCAGTCTGGAGGGGGAGCTGTAATTGGGCGTGAAGAGATTCATCAAACAGCAGCCTCTTGGAGCTGTGGCTCTCTCTGCCATCTGGACCGATGATTTCCTACCTGGGACAACAGCAGCAGGCATGGTGGATGAGGTCCTACAGCTCCACCGCCTGGGTCTGAGAAAACCTAAATGGCTTTCTTTTGTCTTCTCCAGGAAGCAGTGAGATTCTGCCTGTGTTGATGGGCACCTATGTTGGGGTTCACGCTGAAGTTTGCCCAGCTCTGGGACAGCCAGGCCTGTGCTCAGGGTCACTTTTCAGTTTATAATGAGCCAACTACACAGACTAACAGCAAAGCCCTGGAGTGAGGATGAGAAGACATAGTGGAAATCCCGCTAGTGAGTCTGGAGGCTTAAGGCAAATTTTTGCCCCAATTTTCTGGCCTACACAAAGGGGATAATCATTTCTGCTTTGGCCCAACTCACACAAGTTTTTGGAAGTTCTTGTGACCTTACAGATACAAAATGGCTTCAGTAATGATAAAGCCCATTAAGGATTGAATCCAACAAACATTTATTGAGCAACTGCTGTGTGTTATGTACCACATCTACTGCTGTGATGGATATGAATGAATAAAACGGACCCTGCCCTTGGCGAGCTTACAGTCTAAGAACAATCATAGGACAAGTGCACAAATAACTATAATACAAGGCAGAATATGGTCAGTGCCATGAGAAAGGTACAAATAAAGTGCTATGGTGGTTCAGTGGAGGGAGAGAGCCCAGTGGTTAGTGGATCAGGGAGGGCTTCGTGAAAGACACAGTCTCTGCGTGGCCTTGGAGGAAACTCAAGAGTATCTAGAGGATGAGAATGAGGAGACCAAAGGCACAGAGACAGGAAGCAAGGGTGCTCCTTCCGGGATTGGCAACACTTGTAGATTGGCTGGTGCAGGGTGTACAGAAAGAATGGGACCTTACTGGGTGGGCTATAATGTCGGGTTAAAGGTTTGTGTATTGGCTGGTGGGCCAGGAGAACTTCGAAAGGCCTGTGAGGAGCAGTAGATATACATCATTATGCATGCTCAGGAGGGCTGGAGGATGTGGAAGCATGCAGAGGAAATCTGGGAGCGGAGGCTGCTCCTAAGCAGTCCAGGGCAGACGTGAAGAGGCGAGGTGGGTGCCGGTGGGAAGATGCAACAGAGGAGGATGTGGAAGAAGAGTTGAAGATGACAGCAGGACCTCAAGTCCTATGGTTGAGAGGATCATGGGTCTTCCAACAGAATAAAGGAGGGCTTGGAGGGGAAGGGGAGATACAGATGGTGCTCTTGGCATTAGAGGCGATCAGTTCATGGTGCTGCTGCCAGAGCAGATAGGGTGTGTCCAACATGCAGTCTGAGCTGGGGGAGGACGGGGATGCAGAGGGGGGTGCAGGGTTTTCCTAGGGAGCTGGTGGCCGGATCTAAGGAAGGAGTGAGCTTGCTGATGGGAGGGTGTACAGGGCTGAGGGGAGGACCCTAGGGAGGACTGTCTACATTGTGGGGCAAGAAGAGAGGGAGAGAATGGGCAAATCTACCTCAGCTCTGAGGTCAACGTAGGAACGTCTATAAATAATGCATAAATACATAAATAAATATATAAATAAGTGGGGAAAAGGGGGAAGGGAAGGGAAACCTATGAGGACATGGTATCCGCGAGAAGAGCCAGGAATGCCCAGGATGAGTCCCTAGAGTTCCTCTTTGAATTGGCAGGATGGAGGGAATGCAGGGCTGGTCCCAGGAATGGGCTAGATGTGGAAGCCACGGCATGATCAGGAGGAAAGGCAGCAGGGGGCGGGCACTGGGGAGCCTGCTCAGGCCCGGGTGCTGGGAGGTGAGTGAAGAGACCATGAGAGCCAGGCTGGGTATGGTCACATTTACTTGTGAGCTGGTTAGAGATGGCAGAGAGGGGCTGAGGGTGTGAGAGGAAATGTACCTGGCTGGAGGAGGAAACTCACTTCCTCAGAAATGGGAGGACGAAGGGGAAGGGAAAGGGGAAGGGGAAAGGAAGAGACCAACAGGTTTTGAGGAAGGACCTCATTTCAGACAGCTCCATCTCTCCAGTGAAGGAGGGGGTTGAGGGTGGGGTCAGAGGGGGGCTTGAGGCAAATGGAGGTGGTCCGAAGGGCTTCCGGCAGGCAGGGCCAGGCACACTGGAGATCTGATGGACAGAGCCTGACATATGCCTAACTGCAGCTACGAGGGGGTGGATCAGAGGGATGAGTGTGGGCTTGACTCCCTGGGAGCCTGGCTCTCAGCCTCCTGACCGTGTGCTCAGGTGGAGGAAGAGGAGCCAAAGCCCAGAGTTCCTGCCATCACAGTGCTGAGAGATTTGGCAGCACGGGACCCGCTGAGTTAGGGAATGGGCAGGTGTGGGTGTCCTGGACGTCCTGCCTTCTTCTGGAGAGAACTTGGAGGCACTTTACAACCGGCCAGAGACCAGGTTCTCCAGAGTGCTGGCCTCTAGCTTTACTGCATGGACAGGGTGCTGTCTGGCAGACAGAACTCAGGCCCAACTCCAAGGCCCGACCTCAGGGCTTGCCTCAGACCTCACCATGGAACATTCTGGCATCCAAGGTCTTGGCTAATCCACCAAGGCCTTGCTGATAATTCTACTTACTCCCCAGGGCACTGCAAGCTTTAGAAATTAAGTGTCTTCTAGGACCTTTGAGCTCCTCAAGATGAAAAGCTCAGGAGACAAGTAAAATATGACACTAATTATTTCCACTGGTCGTGAGGAACCCGGACCACTTGGTTCCCACTGAGGCTATTAGAGCTGTTGCTCTTTTAAAAATTCATTTTATAATAGAAATCCCAAATCTCAGACTTCAGGCAACAACAAGAAAGGGGAAAAATGCGGGGATGTGTTGTCGCCATCCTGGGCTTGGGCTGGGGCATTTGTGTGTGTCTTTAATGGTTCCGGGTTTCCTTCCATTGACTCCTCCTGCTTCCCATCAGATGTTAATTCAGAGCCCACGTTCGGTTCTGAATTGCCATTGATTAATTATGTCTGGTCTCATACACTCAGGAGCAGATCTTGATTACTTTCCTTAACTCTCTTCACCTTCAAGAGAATGGTTTTTTACTTATCTTTCAAATATGTTTTAAAACACTGTTAGTTATCAGGCGAGGGAATACATCTAACAAATCGAGGCGGGTAATGCTTCTCTGCAACTTGAGATTCCAGCCTCTAAGGGACTGGCATTGAGCCCAGGTTTTCCCAGGAGATTATATCCAGTGTTTGTAACTTTGTTTGGCCTTTTATTTCTGCAACAGTCTTAAATATGAACCTTAATAGGGAGGAAAGAAGGATTTTGCAAAATGCAACAATCATTGCTTCTGTGGGCAGGTGGTGGTGGGTGAGCGTGTGGTGGGCACTGGAGCTCAGTGAGGGAGAGTGTGACCATCATGGTGGGAAAGTGACACTGACAGAGCAGTCTGGCTGCAGGGGCCCTGCAGTGTGTAGGATGCAAAACCAAACAGAGCGAGTGGCGGCCAGACCTGGAGCTGGGTGACTGCCATTCTTTCAGGCCTCACACTCTGGGGTTCTGGCGAGGGCGCCCAGAAAGGCAATCATATATATTTTAAAGAGAATGACATTTATCTTGACAGTGCCCTTTAAAGCTTTTGTTGTGTCTCTCCTGGTGGCAGACGGGACAGCAGAGTCCCTCACTGACATTCCAAGAGGGCAGGATGGAGGTGAACATGCAGGGGAAGTCTCAGGGCCTCTTCCTCCTCGGCCGGCTTCAGTTGCTTTAAAGAGCACCCAACACAATGACCACATTTTGGACACTCTTCTGCCTTGTGCTGAGGCGCAGCAGCCCACAGGAGGTCTCAATTGCTCAAAGGCATGATCTAGAACATTCTGCCTCTTTAGGGTTATCCACCTGCCAAGGTTCCCGGTGGTTCTTGTTCACCCGGGATACGGGCTGCCCATTGTTTCTCTTCTAGTCTTCTCTCCACAGCTGTGCAGTCCTATCTGGGACTTGTGCGTCACCT